AATTCGCTCCTTTGCTCCTCCCTGGACCTCGCTTCATCGAACATTGTACACATGAGCGCGTCCACCGTGCGGTATATATTTGACTCAAAGGTGGCGCACTGTACGACTCCCCCAGAAACTCTGTCCTCGACTTTTTTTTCTTATTTGCCGCGCTTGTTAACGTGACGACTGTACTTTCGTTCTGCATCTTGCATCTGGCCGAGTTGTTCAGTGCCTAAGTGTGGTTAAACTTGACTGTCAAAGAAGCAGTAGTGCTTTGATGACGTGATTCCCGTAGAGCTTCTGTGAAAGATGTAGAAATAAGCAGGAAGTAAATAAGAAAAAAAAAACTGAAGTTGGGTGATAAGACGAGAGGAAGGAGTGGTCTGTATTGCTCCGTGTGTTTTGTAATGGCGCAAGAATATTTACGTAAAAGTATGCCACAAATATGAAGAACCGAGCTTCCATAGGTATAAATAGTGTTTGGTACAGAATATATGCTCGAAATATTACGCTTAGCAATGCTTTCTTTTTCATTTGAGGTGAAGTTTTTAATTGTGCAGTTCCAGAATACCTGGAGACATTGCAAAGTCGTCCTTCCGCGATGACGATGGCAGTTCCGTGGCGACGATGGCAGCCGTTACCACCGCAGTCGCATTGAAGTTTCATTTTACGAATGACACGTTTTCTCCGGTATTGCCTCAGGCAGTCGCAATCGTGGTTACGCGATTCTTATTTCCGTAATCAAACGCATGTTTTGCAGCAGCCACCGCCTTGTCTGTTTCTTATCAGTTAAAGGTTTCAATCTGAATTTCGACCAGGCTGCATTGATTCTCCCTCCTTCCTTTCCCTCTCTGCGTAATCTGCGGCTGCCATCTGCGCCAGCCATTGAAACGAATCGACGCTTGCGAACTTCGCGTACTAACGCGAGGTAACCGAACGCAGTAAAGGAAAATAGAGAAAATAAAGACACAAGAAAGCGAAGATACGTAGAAAAGGACGCGCACTATTTCCTCGCGATAAGCGCTGCGTGCATAAACGTTATTCCTCGAAGGGCAAGGCGAGGGGAAAAGTGCGTAACTGGCGACGAAGGGGACCCGAGCGAAGTTGGGGAGGGTGCGCGTTTTCTAAACGATCTCGCCGTCCGATAGCTTTATACGACCGAGTCGAGACCCCCGCGCTCGCCCTGCGACGACGATTGCGAGTCGGCGTGTGAGAGTGTGCAGGAGCCTAAGCTAGACGGCCTCTCTTTCCTCCTCCTCTTCTCATATTTCCTTCCATCCCGACCGCGAGACGACGGTGGTGCTAGCAACGCTCGGCGAAGCCCAAGCAGGAGCTGCCTGCCGTCGGCCTCCCTTCTTCTGTGTGCCGCGGAAGCCGTTTCCGCCACGCGACCGGCCATTTCCGCTTCCGCTTGACCCGCCTCGCTGCCCCGTCTGCCTTTTGTCCCCCCCTTCCCGTCGGCTTCCCGACGAACGACTTCCAGTTGGCGCGGCGCCCCGTCGGCTGCCGTTTCCTCAGCAGTGCACGCCCCCCCCCCCCTTATTCTACCCCCCCCCCCCCCTGCAACTGCGCTCGCATTCGGACCTCTTTCATCATCATGCCTGGGATTCCTTCCCACCGCTTGCCGGCGCCGTCGATCGAATGTGGTGCACTGGTCCCTCGGGTATCCAGCGTTGGACCCCTCGCGCACGCTTCGCCCTCGAATCTCCAGGTTCTATGCCCCCTCTGGTCCTCGACCCACTGTAGCGGCGCTGTTGACGTCAATGCGGCCGAACCGTATTGGGTCCCTGCCACGCACTGCACGGTATACCGTTGTACGGTGAAAACATATCCCTCCTGACATTCTTCCTTCTCGGTGCCTTCCTCTCCTGCGAGTGTATGTGAAAGAGGGAAACAGGGGAGGAAGGAGCGTGTGTACGAAACCGTCGCTTGGCGTTTATGAGTAGACGCCCTCGTAAAGCTTCGCAGTTCGCAATCAAACTCGTAGGGTTTCTGGTAAACAGTCGAACTTCGGACCCGTCCGTGGTCTCCGTTCCTAACTCAGGAATATTATTTACATACGACTGTAGATTGCGACGGTGGGGCTTCTTATCTCTACTACAACTGTGGGGCGCGAGTAGGAGGGAGGCCCACCTGTATGACCTAAATTTTGTGAAGTCATGTCCGTTCGTATCGACGTGAAATCGGGAAGTGACAAAGCTACGAAAATAGATATAGATGAGCAACTTCGCTGACGAAGCCCCATAAGAACAACGAAGCTTTGGTGCGGGCTACCTGGTTCGTAGTGAATTATGATGGTCGGCGTTGCTAGTAGCTTCTATCTTGTCTTTTTCCTTCTTTTGGGGTTACGTTGTAAGTTATTAGCCCTAAGAGCTTCACCGTAAAGAAGTACGAAAAATCTTCTTAGTTAAGCTACAGGTGAGCATTTGGCTCTTTGGCATTTGGCGAAGTATCTGAGGAATAACCAACAAAACGGCAATGCCGTCCAGTACAATCTGCATTTTCTAATATGAATGTAGCTCGGCCTCTGTATTTAAATATCTCCGGTCCGCAGCCCGACCCTGATATGAACTATAACTCCCGATAACAATTCGATTCAGCTCGTAACCCATCGTTAGCGGGCGCTTCGATTTTTCTCTCTTTATAAGATTGCCGCAGGCTCCCGAAAAATGTGCTCCAATATCTAACTCACATCCCATGTACTGCTTGTGAGCACTCCCGGAAACTTCTGCTCTTTGGACTGCATGTTCGAGTTCAATCTTCACAAAGACACGCGCGCAGCAAAAAAAAAAAAAAAAAAAACAGGTTCTTGACGTTCGCTTTGCCGCCCTCTACGGTGTGACAGCCGGCAGCTCACTACAGAATTTCCTCTGACGTCAAGCGGCAAAAGAACGTCACGCGTATACTGGCAGCTAGAGGCGTTAGGGGCAGTGCAGTATAGACAAGAGGGGCTGGCAAAATTTACTCCTAATATCTTTCTTGGCGACGGAGCAGCAGACAGGACGTCATTTCCTGCTCGAACGCGATAAGCCTTTAATTCTCTCTCTCTCTCCTTCCCATCCTTGCGCACCGCCTCTCATACGTGGTTCCCTCTCAGCGCTTTAGAAAACTGTCTCATCAGTTTTACTCGATACTCTCGCTAAAGTCGTCTTGTTCGGTTTCTTCAGTCACCTTTTCTGTTTAACTTATTTCCTTCCTTCTTTCTTAGGCTTGTACGCGAACGCTTTTCTCCACGTCGTTTCGCCGGGCACGTGTTATTGAATTCGCCTGGCACGGCGGCGCTGCTGTAACAACCCCCAAACTGCTTCGTCGTCTCCGCCAGGAACGCGCGCACGGGGATTGAAATTATGGTAATTCTCGCGTGGGGGGCGCGCGCGCCTCTCTCTCTATACTCGAGTGTGTCGCAACTCGTTCATTTATTTATCTCTTCGATTCGTCTGATTTCGCTTCTAGTTGGTTTCTTTGTTATTTTATTCGAGTTCTGTGCATCTGCGAACGCCTGCTTTGCTGCTTATACTGCTGCTGCTGGGAGGAGACGGGTGGTTAATGTGTACATGTATCTTTTTTCCCCTCTTTTGTACATTTTCTTGTTTTTTGTCTCTCTCTCATTGCTTCCCTAGACGACAAGGCGGTTTTGCTTCGTTTGGCGCGGCTGTCACTGATTTCATTCGAGGCCGCTCTTGACACGTCTCTCGCCTTGCATAGTCTCTGCTTGAGACACTCTTCATGAAAGTGTCTTGCTGCCTCCGTTAAGGTGAAAAAAAAAAGCGACCTCGTAATGTAGAAAGAAAGGAAGCATCAGTGCTTACTAAGCGGGAGGACAGAAAAATGAAATAGAAATAAAAGAGATATTGGTGCGAAAAGCGCTTTATTACGCTTGTATTGCCGTTCTTTGGATACGATTTATATTTTTATGGTAATAATGCTCGCGAATTCTGACAATGCCTGTTGCACTGACAGTGGAGGCTTCGACGTTATCTGCTATGTCCCGAAGCCTTACTTATGCAGCCAATTTTGAAACAGATGACGGCCTTCAGCCGTTATATACTTTTTTTTCCCCTTTGGGGAGTTTCGTCTAAGCGCAGCAGATGAGTATAATCGAAAATACTGCGTTGCATGGATGCCAGAATTTTGCGGCGCAATTTTTCTCGTTATGACGAAGTTTTCGCTTTCCTTTTTTTTTCTCCGCGAACGTTCACCATGGTAAAAACAAAATATTCGGCAGTTTCATGCATTTCCGAATCCGCTTTTACGTAAGACTAGCTGCTGCATGTTTCATTTACTGCATTTTATCCCCTGACGTCAACTCCATATCGCCTCTTCACGTCAACGCTGCGACTGTGAGGGTATTCAACTAGGGATTTCTTATCGTCTTAATAATTTTCACTCGGAACGAAGGCATCAGAACCAGTAGATACCGTTCCTCCTCTTATCATGCTTCTAGACACGGCAGTTTTTGCGCTCACCATGTTTACGCGTCTTGCTAAAATGGCGCGCTAACTATAATTCATCAAGCTGTGACACTCACTTGTATTAGGCGCGGTCACTGGACACCTCACGCTTTTTACGGTGTCTTAATCGATTATATCTGTTATTTCTTCTCGACGTGTGTATAGAGTATGCCCAACGAGCAAAATCTTTAATAAAATTCTTGCCTATCCTCCTCCGTTTCTTATTTTATCGCAGAGATATCACTGCATGGGCTGGCACTTCCGCCAGTCTCAAAACAGCTTTGCCGCTCGCCATTCACGACCGTGGACATGACTAGCGGGTGATTCGGCTTAGTCAGTTTGTTCAAGTTTCAAGTCTGATGCTCTGCACCTTTCAGCTGCTGTAATATACGCCAACGTTCCTCGCTTTTTTTTTTTACCCGGCACGTAAGCGTTGTAGACCACTTACTTCACACGTGTGCTTGTGCTTCGTTACACTTGGTTTATTTACGCGTGTATAATGTTTTAAGACTCTCTAGCGCGTCCCCGATTGCCCTTTTACAAGTGTACTCTATGTTCCCGTCGCAGTGGGTGGAGGAGAGCTTCACCAACTTCGAGCAGGGCATCAACTGGCGTTCGTACGTGGTGTGCGACGTGGCCTACGACAGCGTCAACAACTGGCTATGGACGCCGTTCATCGAGCGGGGCCCCGCGCACCGCATCTACGTCGAGGTGAAGTTCAGCATGCGCGACTGCAACCTGTTCCCGGGCATGGCGCTCTCGTGCAAGGAGACCTTCTCGCTGCTCTACTACGAGTTCGACGCCGCCACGCGCGAGCCGCCTCCCTGGGAGCCGGAGTCGTACAAGCCCGTGGACAGGATCGCGGCCGACGAAGGCCGCTTCACGTCCAACGCCGAGGTCATCATCAACACCGAGGTTCGATCGGTGCCGGTCACCAAGAAGGGCGTCTACTTCGCCTTCCGCGATCAGGGCGCGTGCCTGTCACTCATCGCCGTCAAGGTGAGTCGACGTCGCGGCGTCGTTGGCTGGCTTGCTGGTGCGGTGTGTTAGCCATCACGCAGCCGACACTAGCCAGGGTTAATCTGAGCTGTTACAACGGCTCCTCTAGGAATATGCCTGCAACGTGACGCTCGCCTTTCCGTGAGGTTGAAAGGTCCCTCGTAGGTCACTGTAGTCGCCGCAAAGAGCGCTTTGAGTCGGGGTGCTGCTAGCGGGAGGCTGGATGCCTCCAAAATTTGTTTGTCCCCCTTTGCCCCCCCCCCCCCTTGAGTCCAAGCGTTGTCAAAAAGCAAAACACACATGTTCCCAACCTCCATGCGCCGCCTGAAGTTCCCAACAGTCATTGGTCCCCCCCCCCCCCCCCCCCCCCTCTCAGAAAAGAAACCCGTGCGTCTTGGGCAGCCAACACGACTTTCAGTAGCACCGGAACGATGGTGACGCCATCACCACACCGCTGGCGCAACTTCTACGGCTGACGCTGCCTCCGAGACTGCAATAAACGTTGTTTTGATCTTGAAGGCTGCGAGCTCTCGAAATTGACACCCGTAACAGTAACTCCTATGCCTTTTTTCTTAGAGTGCAGTAGGAGGGAGCACGAAAGGGTTGGAAATCAGCTTTTCGGCGTACGTCGCAGGCATCTTTATAGAGGGGGCATTGGCTGGTACTGTGAAAATGAAAGTGGCAGCTGAATGCAGTCAGAATTATTCATCGTGCTCTGCTACATTGCGTGGGGCAAGATGCCCAGACACGCACGCTGTCTTTGAAGTTGTGAGGTTTTTGCGCGACAAAGCTACGATAGGAATTCAAGTACATGGGCGCCATCGTAGACGTGTATTGAGCTTCAGCGTTGACTCCGACTCGCTGTTTTAACTGTTCACTGTCGTTTTTTTTTTACGAAAGGGAACACGCGAACGCGTGGCCTGTGCTCTGCGGCGGCTGCCTACAGCATCATCAACCGAAAAGTGAAGAAAGCACGTTCGCTTTTCGCGTCATCTATGTCCAAGCAAATAACGAGTTATGGCAGGCAGACAAGCGCTGCTAGATTACGTTCCCTGATCGCTGGCGCGGTGAGTGATATTGGGCGATTACTGTAGCTTGCGCCGTGGTCGTGAACAACGTTTGATGATATGTTGGCAGTGGACTACGCACTGCAGGTGTGAGCAGAGAGAGTGTGCAATCAAGCAGCGCTTCTCTACCGGCCATAATTCGTTATTATTTTTTTCGGCAACAGATGGCGCCGAAAGCGAACGTGTTTCTTTTTGCTGTCGGTTGATGGTGCTGTAGGCAGTCGTCGCAGAGTGCAGGTCACGCGTTCGTGTGTTCCCTTTCATAAAGAACGACACTGTACAACTGCTGCATGCACCAACTTACGCATGTTTGAACAGTTCTCTACATTCAAAGAAACATGGCAGGAAGTCGCAGTCATTATCGATTGTCTCAAAAAGCAAAAAAAAAAAAGCATTCGTTCGTTTATGTTTATCAACTTTTTTTTCTCGCAAGAAGTGGTTAAATCATTGGATTAATGTAGAGAACGTTGCAGGTGCGCTTTAAATTTTAATGAGATAAAAATTGACAGAACAGCGAGAAAGAAAACTGTATCGACCCTGAGATTGAGCATGGGTCGAGGACGACGTATTACTGGTAATTGAATCTGTAAACGTAATTAGATGTTCGGAGGCAAGGAGTGGAAGCCATATTTTAATTGCAGCGCAAACGCGTCTTTATTGTTACTACTTCTTTCGGTGGTTTTATTTAGGCCGCCTTTTTTAGACTGATTTCAGGTTTTCCCCTCCCTCTAATTTAGCCACTTCGTTGCCCTAACGAGGCCGTTTAACTAAATTATGAACGCAGTTGCAGCGAAACAGTCTTTTTTTTTTTAAATCGAATTCACCGGGCTTCTCGGTGTTATGCTTTCAGTTTTAGTTCTTTAGTCAAGGCGTGCCTCCTTCCAATAATTATATAATTGCTATACTCTGTAATACGTCAACGATAAGACGATGCAACCTTTTCTGTGTACTTGGTTTTAGCTGTATTTTTTCTTCGCTGTCGGGGCATGATGTAGGTTCATGACGTCTTTCTTATTTTCGATACTAAGATCAGGCGGCGTAGACCCAAGAAAGGTGGCATCGCATTTGCACATTAAAGGTACGCATAGGAGGTGCGCAGTCTGAATCACGCTTGTCTAGAGCGGCGAGCCATCTATTTCAGCCTGTTTTTTGCCAGAATATGCGGAGATCAACGCCGTTGTGATACTAATCACAGCGAAACTGCATGATAGGACCTGAGGCTGTCACGCAAGCATGAATAGAAGGTTGTAGCCAACGGGAGGTAACATTCAGCGAACGGCGCCAGTTTCCACAGCCGTCCGCTTCGCCGCTGTTGTCATGTACGATTCAGACTACCTTTTTGGCTCAGTCTAATTTGGGGACGACTTTTCCGTACTTTAATCATGCTTGCTCGTGATAAGAAGCGCCTACTATGTTGAGTATTGAGATACAGTTGCTTTTGCATTGCAAGGAGGAAAATTTATGAACGTAACGAATGTTGAAAGCATTTTGCGGCATTGGTATTGTTGACCTGCAACTCGCGCCTACGTGGGTGCTGTCCAGGTATACTACATAGTGTGCCCTAACGTGACTACGTCGTTGGCGCACTTCCCGGAGACGCCGACGGCCAGCGAGGTGACTGCCATCGTGACGGCCGAGGGCCAGTGCGTGGCTAACGCCCGCGTGGCCGGGTCGCCACCGCGCATGCTCTGCAAAGGCGATGGCAATTGGACGCTCCCGTCAGGCGGATGCGCCTGCATTCCTGGTTACCGGGCCGTCGGAAACTCCTGCCAGAGTAAGTGGCTGCCCTGCAAGGCGCACATGTCGGTCTTGCTTCGTGTTTTATTTGCGATATCAACTGTATCCACACTCTTGGCGGGTTTTTTTTGCCGTCGTGTGCCGTATGAAGTTCAAATCGATAACATCGCCCCGAGCGTCGTCGTTCGACCAGCAACTGCGAACTTTGATCAAAGAGGCGCGGTCACGAGCGCAGGCGATCGCGCCATCTACCAGACATCAGGTAGACTGGTCATGCCGGATTCTCGCCGCTTACTTCGCGTGAAGACGACAAGCAGAATAAAAACCGCCTTGTTCCCTGGTGCGGTCGTTTCCTTGCACCATCGTTTGCAGAGTTACGCGAGATCAGGATGCGAAAAAGTAAGCCTGTTTGCTTTAGTTTCTATAACATTCTAATACGTTGCTCTCTCATCCATTGTTTCGCCCTTGCGGCGAAACGGATTTTTTTTTTCTTTTGCAACAAGCGAAGTAGTTAAGAGAAAGAAAAACGCCACTTGTGGGTAGTCTCGATAAACCGGATAGTTTTCTGGGGAGCATCGGTGATGCAACCGGCCTTCAAGTGGTAAGCGCATCATCTATAGGGTAGATATGCGGTTTCATTTGTGAACGCGCGCTTGAGATAGCTCGGTGATTAGAGCTGGACTCGTGCGTCGAGGCTTCTTGTTTTATTCTCTTCAGTAATCGCAAAGCTGCGTCACCTTTCTCTCTGATTTCATTAGAAACTTTCAATTAGATAAGACGGTTTAATGCGTGCAACATGACCGAAGTGAATTATATTCGATTAATCCCAAATCGCTATGTTAATTCCTGTTACGCGCCTTTGAGGCCGCTTCGCCACATTAACGCAATGCATGTGGCAAAGCACGCTCTACAGGCAGTCACATGTTGCAAAATTAGGTTCGGTAGTGCACGTAAGCATTGTTTCTCTCTCGCCCTAAAGCTGCATGCTTTGTGCATTACGAACGCAGTATGCAGAGCGTGCTTGCCGCTGTCAATGTATAAGCATTGCGGATGTTTCGAGAAATATTCGATTCGAAGATGTAGTGACAGTTTCTACAGTTTTAGATGCAGTGCCGATAAGAGAAATTTCTGTGTTGATGCAACTTCTGCCATTTGTTTCGGGGTCTCCGTAGCTTACCTTTTCGCGTATTTCCGACTTGAAAGTCTCTACCGTTACACCATAGACCAACCGCACTCCGAGAGCACAAGCTCGCCTGCAAGAATGACATCGTCTGCGCTTTCTTGGGAAAACACGTGAGAAAAATATGACACCTCTGATGGTCGTTTCTGCTGTTCTCATTTAATCCGGTAATGTAGTGTTCCGCCCGCGTTCAGCTCAGGTCATCGTTGCCTGGTGGGGTAGTTTTCAACCGCCGCTAGCTTTATGGTTATTGTTATTGTAAAACTTGGTCCACCACGGCGTTTCGGGACATATTCAAAACGACGCTGAGTTCCATAGTGTCTCGGAGCAACCCGCGCCTCAAATGCGTGTCTCTGTTTATCTCTCTTTTCTGACATTCTTTTCTTCTTAACGACCTTCGGCGTTTGCTCTGGCGTACTAGGGCAGTTTTGGGTGGAGGGGGGGGGGGTAGATGAAATATGACATCGTTCTTGAGATTTCAGTGGCATGTAGCTGGAAAGAGCTAAACTTTGTTGCTGCCGGCCGTGTGCACAATTTCGCTATTTTGAGAAAGAGAGAGATGACGGGCGTGGGGAGAATAGGAGGAGGCGATGTGTCGGCAGCCTTGGGATGGGGATTCTCTTTACAGCGAACACCAAGTACCGAATTTCTGGGTGGGCGCGTGGTAGGGAACGTGCGTGATAACAACAGGCTCCAGGTCTCTCGGCTTTTGGCTAACAACCGCGTGCCATTTCCTCGGGCCATTTGCTTTGGACCGGCGTAACGTTGGTTGCGGCGGTGACGGCGTTGTGTGGACGATGATAGCATGAGAGGTTTACGTTTGCTTTTTTTTTTTTGCCTGGCTTTAAGTGATCACGTGGCTGTTTCCTTGCTCTTTGGCTACGTTCGCCGTTACCATGCGATCATAATGCTTGTACGTCCTGGTTTCCATGTAGCCTTGTCATTGTTTTCTGATGTGCATTCATACCTTATCTTTGACGTTCTTTCTTCATAACGCAATCAAAATATTCTAATATAGTACACACTGTTGCTTTGCAAGCTTCTCCAATGATGTTCACGTATCATGAGCTATTATTACTGCCATTTTGATTCGCTTCTGACTAATCACATGTTGAACAATTTTAACTTCCTGTGCCCCTATTGGTTGTTTTGTTTTAGTTTTTCTGGATCAAAATACTCAATCGTGCGCGATTCTTTATATGTCGATGATCCGCGATGCTTGTGCTGTTTGGCTGCCAGGAAACCAGACATCTCTTTTCTCTGCCATTTATGTACTGTGTAATGTACACCTATACAGCGAGATGCATCATCGTAACGAAACGCACTTACACAAAAGTATTTTTAAAACGGGAATCTTTATACCAAGCACCTCTCTTTCACACACTCGTTTATTTTTTCCCCACCTCGAGCGTAAACACGTTCAGCGCTGCAACCCTAATGGTTTTTGGCCTTGTTTAGGCGCCTCGATAATACTCGGAAAATTCCACGCTCAATGCGTTAATGCGCCTTCGACAGTGTTGAAAATCGTTCGGAAACTTTTCACATCCTTCTAAAGAAAGATCGAAAAACTATCACGGCGCTTCGAGTCACCGATGTAGAAACCCGCACTTCCGCTTCAAAGTTATCAAAAATAAGTTTAATTGGTTAGCGCCGTGTATATATTTCGGTGCACTTACTTCCGCTCGTTAAAACCGAGCCTGGTGCTTTTAAACGCTACCGATAGAAGCGCGGTGTGCGTGAGTCTGCTGAGAGAGAAAGAAGAAGGTTGGCGGTGAAGAATTGTGGGAATTGAAGAGAGAAACTTGGGGCGAGGATTCTGTTTACGACGCGTAAGATATCCCATTTCCACGCGAAGTATCACTGAGCCGCGGGCGGGTGGCAAGGGTTGTACGGAGCGATAAGAGAGCTGCGAAAGAAACTGGGTGTCGTGGCGTATAAAGAGTGCTGGATCCCTGAGCGGAACTGATAACTGTTGCACCACTGCCGCCGTGTTGGCTTCACCGCCGTGCTTCGGTGTTATCCGTCGGTAAACAGGGGCAGTCGATAAGGCGCGCGCCGTCTTCTCTTACCGCGCTCGTATTTCTCGAAAAAAAAAAACAAAAAAAAACGAGGAGCTATAGAACCCAGCAGGCGTTTCCGTCTGCTTCCTTCCTCCCAACTTCCTCTTTTCCCGAACTTCTTTTTTTATTGTTATTCGTTAAACACTGCGTGCCTCCCAAGCCCCCCCCCCCCCCCCGCCATTCCTGGCTTCCCGTCTGCTTCTCACGTCTCCCCTGAGAGCTCCTTTAGACGTTCGCCTTAAGGAGCCGAAGAAGAAATATCAGAACGCAGACGGCTCTCGTTCCCGGTAACGCCTCCTCATTGCCCCGTATATCCAGGAAGCGGTGTTTTTGTTTTCCTTTCATCATCTTTCCTCCTCCTGTTCTCCTCCACCGTGTTTTCTCGGGTCCCATTGACTTCGTCGTTGCGGGCTGCCCCGTCTCACCCTCAGCGCTGTCATTTCGCCGTCGCCTTGTATCTTTAACGTTATTTTTTCCTCCTCCCCATCTCCCCATACGCTCTTATTTCTCGCTCTGCACGCGAGCTTCTCTCGCTTCTGCGAGGTCATTACCGCCACCGCGCTGTTTCGGTGAGATATCTCTGGTATGGAGCTTGTTTTAGTCGGTCTCTCACTTTTATTTTTTTCCCCACATTCTGTACATTTCCTATTGCATTTTGTTTGCTTGCGCGCGTCTTCGTGTTCCTATACGAAATATCCCTAATGCCCCGCTTCCCGATCTTTCTTTTTTTTTCTCCACCATTTTCTTCATTGTTAGTACATTCACGAGCTTCTGAAAGTAGATCTCTGTTCTTGCTACTGATGTTTTGTGCTGGTGCACTGGCCGCAGCTTTAATATTTGTCTGTTTGTTGGTGGGTGGTTGCAAGGACTTTTGTGTGTGTGTGTGGGTTGGAGGGGAAGCAGGATGATAAAACATTCTTTTGCTTGGGTCTCCTTTTTCGCTTACAACAAGTTGCTCACCGTCACCTCACATTCCCTATTGCACATGCTTTCGCTGCTGTATACTTTTATTTTTGATATTTGGACATGAAACCCAAACGAGAGGAGTGCCAGGATTATTCGTGACCAAAGGTTCGCTATCTGACATTTCTTGTTTATTTTGTATGGATAAACTGGCTGTGATAATAAATTGTGAATACAAAATGGGTGCACAGTTTACAAACTCCTTTTTGATATGAAGTAATCATCGCTACTACTTCGTACAGTCGAAGTTTAGGTGCTCATGGGCTTCTTTGTATTTTACAAGTGCACAATTCAAAGAACATTGCAGTGCGGACGATGAGGTCAACAACCTGAGTAAGCCAGCGTTGCGAACCAGCACTAGCATGCTGCCCAGTCTAATACTGGTCTTCTACTTAATCTCCATCTCTCAAAATCATTAGGTGGCTTCGAGATGTTAAACACCACACGTCTATCAGCGCTTAATTAATCCCTGAAACAAATATTTTACCTAATGTTCTGTGCGATGAAAATCGAACAAAATTCCCCGTTTGTACTCACAAGAAAGCAATCAGTGTATAGTTTTTCATGTATGGCTTTCTTCTGTAGTACAGATGCTTTTGTTCTGTATTTTTTTCTCCCTCATCCTTTACATCTTATTGTGTGATCAGGTGATATGGTGCCCATTGTCCGGTGTGTTGCTTGTAGCGAGCCATTTATAGCACGGCATTCATTGCGTCCAATCTACCTTGTGATGCTCAGCTTGCTGTAACAAACTTTCCTCGTGTGTGTGTTAATTTTTGGGCTACTGTGTGTGCTTGCCGACATTAACCAGCTGCTCTTCGCTGCCAGCGCCTAACTGCTTCTTGTGCTGTGGCCCTTCTCTGCTGCTTTAGTGTGTCCGCCTGGCACGTTCAAGCCGAGCTCGGGTGACGGTCCCTGCCTGCGCTGTCCTTCATTCAGCGTTGCCCCACAGCCGGGCTCCACGGAATGTCGCTGCAAAGAGCGCTACTTTAGGTCTCCCACTGATCCCAAGACTATGCCTTGCACGCGTGAGTTTCCCCTCCCAATATATGCTCTGACAAAGTGTTTCCTACTAAAACTACTGTAGGGAAGTTTGGCTTTGCCGATGTGAAAATTTCATGTAGTACGTGGTTTTGTCGAAGCCTGATGCAATCATGGCATCAGGTATGCTGGTGGCATCGGTTGCTCACCTCTCTTTCTTAAATTTTCGAAAAGTGATATTCATCCTGAATGCATGAATAAAATAAATTTTTCTACATATGCGCGATCTTGGATGATGCACTTGGAAGGAAGTTTTTTTTCCTGAAAATCAAAGCAAAAAAATAAGTCACGTAGTTAACCCTACAAGCAGAATTTTGGCACTTACATGTGCTACCTACTCACCATTTTCATGCTGACTGAACGACTATAGTTACAGGTCTTATAGACTCATTCACTGATACTTTCTACAATAATTCTTTTTTCTGTACTTTGACATGTTGTTATCTATATAATAAGGGCTCACTGAAGCAACAATTTCACGCTCATTATGCTAATGAATTCTGGATGTTTGTATAGTTTGAGATAGTGGGTATGTATAGACTGTGTTAATAGCTGAGAAAGTTTGAAGCAAGAGCGCAGGAGATAAAAGGTAGTTCTTGTCGAAAGCAGAAAAAGTGGAGACTCCCCATCAGATGCCGAGTCTGAATATCTTCCTCTCTTAGCACCCACTCAGCGATTAAATTCCCCAAGCGGTATTTTCTTCAAAGCTGATATAGCTCAAAATATTGGAAACTGTGCTCTTAAAAGAGAGTAAATAACATTGTAAAATATTTCATAACAGGAAATGTGTGGCAGTAATGCAAGCAAACTTTCATTGAATGTCTATGGAACAGAAACAGTATAATCTACAAGATTTTCTAAAGGTTTCGTTTGGTCAATTTTATACCTTCTCCGTTCTCTTCAACCTTTATTCATTGATATTCTATTGTCCGGCTTCCTGCTTTCTACTAAAATCTCTTGACTAGGTGATCTTCATGCGATGTGATGGAGAAGGCAGTACGCCCACACATGAAGTTTTCTGAACTGGAAATGTCTTTGATAAAATTCTCTTTAATTAAGTCACATTGAGTGGTTCCGTTGTTCAAGGTTGTTTACAAGTCACCTTATTACTGCACAAAGTGCTTTAGATTGCATACAAGCTACAGTAGCTGTTTGTGAACAAAATTCAAAACACTTTTGTCACAGAAGAATGGAAGGAACATTGCTAGGTTGTTTTTTGACTCTTCGCTGCTTCTTTTGTGCAGAACCTCCTCGAGCACCTCAAAACCTGAGCGCAAGTTGTGTGGACCAGTCCTCGGTCACCCTGACATGGCAGCCACCAGCCAATCTCGGTGGCCGCGAAGACACGACGTATCGTGTCGTCTGTGAGACCTGCAGTCCGAGCGTTGTGTTCTCGCCATCAAGGCAAGGGGTTCAACGAGACCAGCGTCACCATCACGGGACTGCGTCCAGTCACTCCGTATCGCTTCCAAATTTACGCCGAAAATGGAGTCTCTGGCTTTGACAAGGGCCACTTTGCAGAGATCACAGTAAAGACTGATGCATCAGGTATGTGCAAACTTGTGTATTTTGTAGGTCTTATATTGAAGGAAAAAACATGGAAGTTTGTTTTGCAAAGTCTGCATGAGTTGACTGTGAGGTAAAGAAGTTTTATATAACAAAGTTGAGCTCTAGTGAGCTCATGTCGTTGAGCTCATTTCGGTCATTGTCTTTTGATCAGTGTTTTTTGCCATGCATTGTGACAGCATCACAAGTTTTTTTTTTTAAACACATGTCTGGCTGGCTGATGCTTGATAAGCACAGCCTAATTAAGAAAGGGCAGCTTGCATTACATGCCCACTTCAAACATTTCACGCGGCTCTTATTTCACACATTCCTAACAGAACTACAGCTGTAGTTACACTTTACACACCACACAGCATTTTCACCTAGTTGCAGAAAGTGCCGATTTGTATGTAAAGAGATTCACTTGCTCACATTTCTATTCTCGATTTCTTTTTCTTCTGGCAGTTCAAACAGTGATCTCCAATGTTCGTGCGAAGGCCATCAAAAGCACCGAAGTTTTACTGGCATGGGACGCCCCGCAAGACCCGTTTCCCGAGATCGATCGCTACGAAGTTCGTTACTTCCCGCGGAAGTGGGCCAAGAATGAGACCGTGCTGCAGTCGCACAAGTTGCAGCTCGCTGTCACTGGGCTACGGTCACGAACCGAGTATGGCTTCCAAGTGCGTGTCAAAACGACTCGCGGTTTTGGAGAGTACAGCGACACCGTTTTCCTGACTACTGGCCAGTACACTCACAGCCCAGGTGAGACCTTCTTGCTGTCGATTCTTGCAATAGTGCATTTTTGGTCATGAAATCAGCGTCATGGTTGAAGCAGCGTGATTTTGCACGGGCACAGAAAAAAAAAAAAAACAAAAAAACTACACATGGTCTTTTTTTTTTCCTGTTCATCTCGAACCACGCGGGTCTAGATGTCAACCCACAGTACTAACACACCCATTTAGTTTATATTGGTGAGCAAAGCAAGTAAGTTAAGTATGTGAAAAACATATTTTTCACACTGGTGACTTATGTGTGTAGATGTAACCTCAGCTTAGAAGCCTTTTTGTGTGCAATCTTCCTATATGTAAATCCAGTCTAAATAAAAGTATTGCAGGGAAGAATAATAGTGGTGCGCATTACAGATGTCCCACAACTTCACGTATTAAAATGTAATCTCGATGAATGAAGGCATCTAGGGCAGAACCGCTGAAGTTGGAAACAAGTAATTGGCCCTGAGTTAGTGATTACATATTTGCTAAGCAAAAGGAAAAGCTGTCCGAGTAGTAACATTTCACATGTACAAATTTAATTTCAAATCAATAACAGGATCGTCGGATGCAAGTCTACTACCCGAAGAGGCAATCTTCGAATGCACCAGGGGAACAGAGCAATATTAGCTGTATACGATTGAGCCTGGCTAGAAAGAACAGCTTGCTATGTATAATGAGGATCATGATTGTTAACTAAATATTAAAAAAATTTACCATGAAGCTTCTAACTTGCCACAAAAAATGATTTGATTATGGTGCAATAAGTATATTCTGCGAGGCAAAAGCCAGTCTTTTCGTAGTGCATGCTTAATAGCAGTGTAATAGCATTTTGCTCATTCCCATTCTGCTTAACACGTGCATAATTTTTCACTTGCCTCTTAGCCACAGTTGAATATTCAGTCATTATAGTCAAGTATTGTTAACAAGTTTCTTGCCTCTGTTTGTGTGTACGCAGCACTGGTGGGTGATGAGGACAAGGTTCAAGTCAGGATCATCGCTGGGGCCACTGTTGCAGTCATACTTCTAGTCGTCATTGTTATCGTCATGATCATCCTGTACATCAAAAGGTCTGCTCTAATTTCATTTTCTATCGCTTATAATATGTAAATGACTTCCGACACACTTAACTATTCATAAATGGTATATTACCTGTCACTAAAAATGTCAAACATACCTTAATTGTTTTCAGCCTTTATTTCCGAGAGGGTTATGCAAAATGTGCGATTTAATGAATGCAAAAGCACCTAGAAGAACAGGGTAACATAGAGGGGCTGAGAAGTCTTGTTTATGTGTCAGGAACATGCCTTGACATAGAGACCAAGTAAAAGTTTCGTCAAATAGAAACAGATAGCGATGCTATCCTTGTCAGCCACCACGCCAGTTTGCTCTTTTTTTGAGTGTGAAAATAGTGCTGCCCTTGCACCCTACCCAAGCCATAATTGAAGGGATTCTCGTCACTGTACATTCTCTTTAAGAGTTTTAATGTAACTTATGTTACCACATTGGAGATGACCTTGTTTCGACAATAGCACAGAACATTACATCTTGTGAAGCCATATTGTATGTTGCGTGCTGCGATATAATGTTGGAGCCATTTCTTTGACATACTCTTGTGTAAATGCACGTAATTATTTTACTTTTATAAAACAACGAACATTTTTTTTTTTGGCAATACCGACTCTGCTATTCCAATATACTTGTACACATAAAGCTATCAATGAGCATTGGCTGGTGTTATTAAGATGTCTATTTGAAATAATGAAGAATTATAAGGCTTCCAGAATTAGTATTTAGTGGATGCTCATTTAATATTAGCTATACAACTGTTACTGCACTCTTAAAGAAAAAAAGACATGTTAGTGTCGCAATCTATGTATGCATTGCGATGTACTAGATTGTCATAACTGCTGGTCAACATTTCAGAAAGAAAGCAGCAATATAGCAAGATGCTATATTCAAATGGTGTATCTCAATAAAGGTGTTAGTCTAGTTGCTTACGTGGATTGATGTTAGCATGCTGATCTGTTTCACATAAAATAGAACAACAAAACTAATAATCTAGCCAATGACATTCAATATGCCTTTCTTCGATGGCAATTGTGTTACGACTACACTGCTGTTTGCGTGCAGTCATTTAGAAGTCGCACTGCGAAATCTTTTTCAGAAGTTCTGACGACTGCAACAAGAAACAGCCCAGTGACTGCGATACTCTGGAATACCGTAACGGGGAAGGTAAGAAATGTAAGGACGCCAATTTTTGTTTTCAACTTCCTCTCTTTCCTTATCTTGAGCATGACGCTTTCCATCACTGAGAATGGTTGGGTAATTGCACCTAATTGATTGCTTTATAACTGCTTAAGAAGGAAGCACTGTAATCGCTCAAGTGTTCCAGCCTAATTCCATTTCATAAACGTGTCGAAATTGCTTCATAGTGTTGCACTACTCAGCTAAGACATACATTAACAGTACCATGCCGAATTAGCTATCGTTGTTTGTTTTTCATGAAAGTTCTTCCTTTCAAGGTCACTTATCCTCTTAAATAATGTTATCTGCCATCTTACTTTCAAAATAAGTTATGTTTATGTTTATTACTGACAGAAATATTTGTCATTTACAAACCCAATGAAATGAGGAAAGCTGATATCCTAAGTGTATGGGCACTGATAAGCATCATGTACAGGTGCTGATACGCTTCAGCTAGACTGAACAAAGGATATGTGTAAATCGCAAAAGGTCAATGTAAGCTTTAATAGCTTGTCTGAAACTCCTTTTATGACGATGCCCTACTGCTGGCTAATTTGTGCTGCATTGAATTCTCGCAAAGGTTCAAGAAACACATTAGTATTAGGTGGCACATTGCGCCAGTAACTCACATTTTAGGTTTATTATGCACTATGTAGGCTTTCTTCTCTTCCTTCCGCCCACTTTTCTCCACTGGGTGCAGCTGGGTGCTGGTGAACTGACGCTTGCCTTTCCTTCTCTGCTTCTATAGTAGTCCCTGCTTTGGAACACCCTCCAATCGTTCAGACTGCTCGGCGTAAGTATGAACTTACTTTCTGCTAACGATTTCACCCGCTTGCATGCATTTCAGCAGCTGTCTAGTTTCTTCTGTGGCACCATAAGCTGTTGCTTAACACTTCGACTAACGGGTTGCTGTAACAGACTGTTACCTTACAGCCAACGATCATGAATTTATTGGTGATGGAAGCCTGAAATTCATTCTCGCTATCATCTGGAGACACATTTGGGGAGATTATATAAGCAGGCTTCTTTCTGCACATACCTTGAAGTGCTGCGAGTAAGATACCCCTCTGACAAAGAGGGAGCAAGCCATAGGTTACGTTTCAATTGTGAGAGAGCACAGCATCTGTGTCGGCACTAAGCACCCTGTATATTCTTTGCAACAAGTATGGGAAGGCACTTTGGCAGAGTTGTTGTCTGGTAAAAATGAAGGAAAGGTGGGAAGGGTATGAAACACTTAAGATCTGAAATCATCCAAAGTTAGTAAATTCAGTGTGTCTCACAAGCTGTAGCCCTTTTCTTTAAGCTATGAGTGTTATTAAATTGTGATGACGCTGCTGACTGATTTCAGTAACATCCTGCTCTGTAGCCACAAAACAGATAATACTGTATATCATAATGCCTTGCATAACATATCACATATGTATCATAACGCCTCACAATGTACCGTATTTACTCGATTCTACCGCGCCCTCGATTGTAACGCGCACCTGATTTCCACCACGAAAAAAAAAAAAAACGTAAGACATCGATTGTAACGCGCACCCATTTTTTTCGCTGGCCCGCACGATCACACCACTCGAAAAAACGACTCCTTTCGGGAGCGTCTTGCGTTTATATATGAGGTACGGGCGAAGCTTGTGCCCATCTGACGTGTAACAGAGCATTGCCGTCACTGTTGTTTTACCGTGGACCGATGTCGGCACGCGAACTTGCTTCGCCTCCTTCTTCTCGACGGTTGTGGTGCCAGGCATGTCGAAGTAAAGAGGCGTCTGATTGGCATTCCCGATTTGCCCAAGCAGGTAGCCGTTGTTGCGCCGCAAGTTTAGGACGAACCTCTGAAAACTGTGAAGCTTTTCATCGTACTCCTCCGCAAAAGTTTTCGCATATGCATGCTCCCCTTCGGAAAGGAAAGCCTTTCCTCTTCATACAGTTAGTTAGCCAGCACCTGCTCGCTTTAAACTGGCTCCGCACTAGACCTTTTTCTAAGACTAATTGCATAGCCCGCACTTGGAGCAGTTCTGTCGTCACGGGCCGCTGTGCCGCTCGCTGCTCAAGCACATACTCGCCGAGCAGCTCTTTAATTTGCGGAAACCGACCCTGCTGTGGTCCACTGAAGCCTTTGCGTGAAGCTTTGCTGTCGACAATCTTCTGCTTTTGTTTCCGCCGGTCGCACGGACGTTTCGGGAACTCCGAACGACCGCGATGCGGCCCGATTTCCGTCCGTTTCTGCACACGCGATGACTTTTCTTTTAAAAGCGGCATCGTGGTGCACTCGGGTTTTTGGAGTCGGCCCTTCCACGCCGTCGATGCTAATGCACTACTAGATGACGAACTCCTCAGCACATGTACGAAGTGCCGCACATGGGAAACACATAGGCAGAAATGGCCGACGCGCCATGCCGACGCACGTAGGGGGCGGCCATTTGGATTTGCCGATGGCAATAGATTGACCGTAATTTTTTGTTCGTACTCGATTCTAACGCGCATGCGATTTATGAACTCGCTTAACCGGAAAAAAGGTGCGCGTTAGATTCGAGTAATTACGGTATGTTTCTTACAAGCCTTAAAAGTTCTAGAGAGACTACTATTTGGGGATCTGCCACAGCTTCCAGCAAATCTTCCTGCACCATTACAGAGTTTACTAAGAGTTTACCTAATTGGCCTCTAGCTCCTGTGTTTAGGTAGCAATATTCAGATTGTGCTGAAACTGGTTGACAAAAATTAAATACTCCAGTTTACCTAAAAAAGAAAAGGCGGGTTTAAAGAAATCTAAACCTTTTTGTCAATAAAATAAGCAACGTCGTCAGGATAGTTGCAAAGCGACCATCGCAATGTACTCAACTATGTTGTATCGGCATTTCATTTTTTGAGAAATCTGCGTAATATTTTTTATTCCTATGTATTGTTGGTGTGCTTACAAGTTAATTCCAAAAATTTTTCACTGGCACTTTCTCTTAAAAGGCATCTGCATTGATATGTAAGATCCATTAAATGTACAAATCTGGAATTGCTTGTTCATTAGAGGTACTGATGACATATAATTTCTGAAATTACATTCCTTTAGTAGTCTACTGAATACAAAGGTTAAACAATACTGAGAAATGTTCAATCTACAACTGTAATAAGTACTAGGATTAGTATACATGTAAAACCTTTAATTGGAAATGAAATGAAAGCGCAGATTACAGAAGAGGTGCGATTGTTCAATAATGGCAGTGGAAACATCTAAGAATTTGTGCGGAGCATCACCACTGTCAACTAGCGCGAGTGCCCGTCCTATCTAAGTGTTCTTTAGCACTAATTATTTTATCCCGTCCTACCTAAGTGTTCTTTAGCACTAATTATTTTCTCTTTTCTTCTTAATAGTGACAACACCCCTCTTCACCCACTGCCCGGGAGCCACTTCAAGGGCATACATAGACCCACACACATACGAGGATCCCAATCAGGCGGTCCGAGAGTTCACCAAGGAAATTGATGCGCTGCACATCACAATTGAGGCCATCATCGGTGGCGGGGAATTCGGGGATGTGTGCCGCGGGAAGCTCAAATGCCCTGGCCGGCCTGAGGTCACGGTTGCCATCAAGACGCTCAAGCCAGGTTCCTCTGACAAAGCGCGGATGGACTTTCTGACCGAGGCTAGCATCATGGGGCAGTTCGACCACCCGAATGTCATCTTCCTTCAGGGCGTTGTCACCAAGAGCAATCCTATCATGATTATCACCGAGTACATGGAGAATGGGTCCCTAGATACGTTCCTGAGGGTGAGTGACGTTGAGGCTTCAAGACATGACTTTCTTGTGAAATGAATAGAGGCCAAACGCTGCAAGTCTTGATTCGGTACCTGTTGTCATGGCTTGCAATACACAAGAAATGTGGCAGAATCGAAAAGATGGACAAAGCATTATCTGAAAAACCAGCACTTTGTTATTTTCATTCCACCTTTGTCAGTGTTTTTCTGCATTGTAAGCCATGTTCATAATGCACCTACTTGCTCTAAAACTTACCCTTTTGGTAACAATGCTTTAACAAGCATTTGTTTTAAGCTGAGCACACCATTTAATTGGGGCCTTGTAAAAGATGTACTTCGTTGCTGGTTGCTCATTGTTGGGTAGTGCTTCCTTTGTTCAGCCACTCTTGATCGCTGCAGGATTGTCTTCCTGCAAATATTTGCCTTCCTGTAAGCATTTATTCTTGTTTGAATTACTTTTCCAAATTATGTTTCAATGAAGCATCATTAAGACAAATTCTCATAATTGTATTTATGTAATCATCCATGTCAAAATTGCCATTTTCAACTACTCTTCTTGATATATTGGTCATGCATTCCTGTATTTCTTTTAGAACTTTCTGTCTTATACTTTGTCTGTGTCAGTAACTTCAGGTAAACTTCTGTATTCTTTTTACAAGAACATCATCGCAATACTGTCTTGTTGTGGCACCCAATACAACTGACTATAAGTAAGAGTGCACCAGGATTCATACATTGGCTATAGGTGAATTTTGTAATCGTGATAGCATCATGTGACACCTTCTTGGGCATACATACTGAAATAGGCATGTTCAAATGTATGAGCATTTTCGTTCATCAACACATATATCAAAACACTTCCAGAATTCCATATTTTTTCTATATATGATCACCCTTGAAGCAATGGTACAGTTTCTGAGCACTACAGTGACATTTGTGAATGAAATTGTGTCCACTATTAATCTCTTCCTCTGTCTTTTTCACACAGGCGAATGATGGAAAATTCCAAACAATTCAGCTCGTAGGCATGCTGAGGGGAATTGCAGCAGGAATGCAGTACCTTGCTGAAATGAACTACGTTCACAGGGTGAGTGCACTAGCTCACTAGAGCAACCCTTGTCATAGTTTAAGCACATGCAGTGATGCAGCTACGACTGATTAACAAAAAAAAAAGAAAAAGTGATATACATGTACTGCCAAGTTAGGATACTAATATCAGGCAGAAGAATTGACTATATGGCCGTTTTATTTTGGATGCTTGGATGAAATGATGCACAGGCTGAATAAAGTTGTCCTTCAATGGTACTCGATTCCAACGAGATCAGGGCAGTACAGGTGAAAATAGCGTGCAGACAAATGGGACGATGATAACACAAGCGCAACACAATATGAGGACAGAACGTGCCCTTGTCAAACCGCAGTATTCTAACATATTAGAAGGGAATAGCATTCTTGGCATTCATGCATGTTACCAGCTGCGTTTTTTGTGCTGCCCGCTTCAAAGATGCATGCTACCATTTATGAAACCCAAAACTTTCCCCCACCGCGGTGGTCTAGTGGATAAGGTACTCCACTGCTGACCTGCAGGTCACGGGAACGAATCCTGGCTGTGGCGGCTGCATTTCCGATGGAGGCGGAAATGTTGTAGGCCCGTGTGCTCAGGTTTGGGTGCACGTTGAAAAACCCCAGGTGGTCTAAATTTCCGGAGCCCTCCACTACGGCGTTTCTCGTAATCATATGGTGGTTTTGGGTCGTTAAAGCCCACAAATCAAAGCATCCAAAACTTTTGAAATATTATATCTGCATCGGAAGTGTTGACCCATACCATATGTCTTTTTTTGCAGGATTTGGCTGCGAGGAACGTGCTTGTTAATGCCAATCTTGTGTGCAAGATCGCTGACTTTGGCCTGTCCCGCGAGATAGAGAGTGCCACAGAGGGAGCATACACAACAAGGGTGAGTCATGTGAGTGCACATTTTGTGCAGCCTTGTAAGTGTGTTTTGTTTCTCCTCTTCACTTCGTGAATGAGATTAAGCAGTTCGGTAGAGGAGCGTGTTAGAGAAGACGTCATACTGGGCAATGTATCTGGTGTTTTCTCTTACTCCTCATTGTTGTGCGGTTTGTTTCCTTTCAGTTATGCAATAACTAGCCCAGTTCAGCACCATATCACAGTACTTTCAGTTTCTATATTTCTTTATTACTTTTTTATATGTATAGTTCTTAAATGTACTCATTTAAGGATCTATAAGCGCAGTGGTGCTAGTGGGTCTGCTGCACCATACAATGAGGAGAAAAAGCAACAATGACAACAAATTACATTCACCGGCATTACCAATGCTTGGACGGTGTAGCAACATTCGGTTTGTAGGTGTTCAACTGTGGCATATATCAAAAGCCTAACATCTGTTGAAGTTCCTCTTCTTTTGTGTTTTATGTCTGGTTTTCCCAGCAGTTATTTCTTACAGTATAGCTATCCTAGCATATCTTATGAAAAAAAAGTGTTTCCAAAGATTGTGCTCTCTCTTCTTGGTGCATACCATAAGTGACATTATTGAACATGTATTGTTTCATATGCAGCACTTTGGTCAAGGAACATAATACTATATAAAGGTATCATTTAAACAGATCTTGTCTTGACCCCTTGGCTACCATATATCGCTTGAACCATAGCATCTTCTGCACAGATGGTTTGCACTGCATACCATTGTTTCACGAGCATTCACTGCCATGCTCATTATAATGTAGTCTTTTTTCTAACAAGTGCTCATGAAGCAGGAACATGTTAGTCATACTTAATAACCTAAGCAGCACTTGAAACCAAAGAGCAAAAATATTTTTCGTGTATTAGTAAAGTACAACTTCGCAGTCCCAAAAACGCCACACTTGCCACAACAAGACACTTGGTAAGTGAAAAAACGTGCCAAAAAAAAATGCGAGTGGAGGCGCCACCTTGACGGCTCTTCATCAAACAAACACTGTGATGTCATAGATTTTGAAGGCATCTACTGGATCGTTCATAGCTTCTTATCGATGAAAATGAAGTACATTGTCATTTGTGGAGGCCATAGAATTGGCGTACAAAGTTTCAGAATGTTTTGTTAATTCTATGTCACGGAAATGAAAAAAATAATTCTGAAATGGTTTGACATCACGCACGGAGATTTTGGTGCGAAATTTAAAAAGGAAACTTCAACCTTGATTTTCTTCCCTAATAATAAACTGATGATAGTGAAACATATGGCATTAAACTTTTCCGAGTGCAGTTGTTTGTCTTTAGTGTCCCTTGAAGTCCTGAAAGCTTAAAAGTAAAAAGTTTAGGAAGTTTGAAACAGTCTAGCATGGAGAATACTTCAGTCACCACAGCTTCTTTTTTTGAGAAACTCTCAAGAAAAGCGACTGTCTTTACTTGAGTCATAGCTAGTGTCAAAGTTGAAGAGAGTATTGAAAACCTTTTGCGTGCACTGATCACATTGTTCACATCTCTTGACAAAGGAAAAGCATGCGTAAGCTTGATATGTCGTTTCATACAAGCGACAAATTTTATATATTCAACTTCCTTTGTAGTGGGCTTGTGCCATCTATTGGCAACGCTTTTGACCACATACAGCATGTATTGCTGGTTGCTCCATCAATATGTTAGTGTGTTGCTGCGACACTTCGCTGCGAGACATGGTATGGCAAGATGGCATTGCAAACTGGCACTGCGAAATGTGTAGTCTAGATTCGTGGCTGTGTAGTAGCACTTGTGATATTGTACCATATGGCGTTCAAACTGAAACAACCTCTTGCGTCTTTTCCCTGTTCATGTATAGGGAGGCAAGATACCTGTACGATGGACAGCACCTGAAGCCATAGCATTCCGCAAGTTCACGTCAGCGAGTGATGTCTGGAGCTTCGGCATTGTCTGCTGGGAAGTGATGTCGTATGGTGAAAGACCTTACTGGAACTGGTCAAACCAGGAAGTCATCAAGAGCATTGAGCGAGGATACAGACTTCCTGCCCCCATGGTCAGTTTTGACGTCTATTTGGTGCAATTATGTCTGTTAATGTTTACGAATGCTTGTAAGAGAGTGGACGAGAGAATTGCAGTAGGCTGCTTATGTATTCTGTATGCACTAATGTTAAGCCTTTATTCATTTACTAAATTCCTCATTCATGAGTAGTAATAACCTAATTCCTTCACCATAATGAGTAGTAGTGCTAATTCCTAGCCCAACGCTACTGTTATTGAAGGGTGCAAGTTGCTTGGAATGTATAAATTTACAAAAGCTTAGCTGTCATTCAGCAGGGATTGGTTAGGTTACATTAACTATTGACCTAATCTGTCACTGACGAGGACAAGTCCAGTTGCTAATTCAAGGCTGAGCCTTCTTTTTTTCGGCCACTCTTGACTACTAATTCGTCACAGCTACTTCTTTTTCCAGTATTTCTCATTTGGTGTCGCACTCATTGCAGGATTGTTCGGAGGCGGTTCACCAGCTGATGCTAGACTGTTGGCAAAAAGATCGGTCACATAGGCCTCAGTTCAGCACCATTGTGAAAACGCTAGACAAGCTCATACGATGCCCTGAAAGTCTACGAAAAATTGCTCAGAACAGGTGAGCATTTATCTCTTTTTCTTCCTTAGTTGGGCGTCTGTTGCAAGAAATCCACGTGTAATTCTCTCTCTTAATGTTATCTCCTGAATACAGAATTACATCCAGATTATCTGCATTAAGGAGTTCATAAGGGATGTGCAGATTTACAAATGCCTGTTTTGGCCAGTCAAGCTGACACTGTGACAAGGTGTTTGACGTACATTAAAATCAAAATAATGGAAAGGGGAAAGAAGCTACTAAAGAGGTGGAATCTCGTATACTCCACACGTAAAACGGCTTGTGAGCATTGGTAAACAGTAGGTTTGTGCAAATTGTGAATTTTAGGTTGCAAGCGAATGTGAAGTGAATAGCTGTTTGGTTCGAATAATTTCAAATCTTATTCGAATAGTCTGTATCACATATTTAAGAAAAAAATAGGCATTTTTAATGATCCAAGTAATCGGTACAGATTTTTTTTTTAATTGAAACAAAGCGTGTGTGAGGGTCTTTTTTTTATTGAAAGTAAATGGAATAACTTCAAATGGTCGCAGGATTTTGCCTTCGGCAGAGTGCAAGTGATAACCTGTCAAATATGTAGCATTTTAAAATTTATTATAGTTAGAGCATATAAGCCTGCATAACAATTTTTTGAACTTAAACATAAAACAATGGGAGGGTATATGTTTATGGAACTTGGAAATGGGGCTTCTCGGCTGTACGGATTTTTTCTTTAGAAAGGTGTACTCACGGTATAGCATTCCTCCATTGCAGTGAAACCATCTCTATAGGAGGTTACATGCGGACCGATATACATCTCTTCGTTCATTTTGAAAAATTTCCATTAACTTAAAATCAAGTAGAAACAGATTTGAATATGGTAATATTTGTTCAAACATTTGAAGTACTCAAATATTTGCAAAAACTTAGTAAACGGTATTCTCATGCGTGTGTACCTATTGCATAGCAGTTACGTGCTGATGATAATAAGCCCTCTTGCCTAAACACGGGTACCAGAATGAGGACCAGTGGCCCTCCCACCACTGCAGCTCATCCGTAAATTTGGCAAATTGATTAAGACTGGGCTAGTTTTCCCATTGCTAATCAATTCAAGTCTGACTCTCCCTGGAACCCATTTATTATATAATGTGTGTTTACATATTGTATGAGATATGTAATAGTCTGTTTACATATTGCATGAAATATGTAATAGTCCTCCTCAAATACTGTTTTAAAAGCCTACTGTCTCTGGTATAGATTATAGTAGGCTTGTGCAAATAGTGGACTTTAGGTTCAAAGAGAAATTTTGGTTGAATAAATTTGAATCAAATTCAAATAGTATATATTGCATATTGTGAAGAAAAATTGTCATATTAGTCATGACTTGACTAACGTGTTCAGTACATTTTAAAAATTAAAACAAAGCCTGTGAAAATGCCATTCTTATATTGGATCAAAGGAAGTGGGAACTAGTTTGGATGGGGGCAGGATCTGACTTTTGTTAAAATGCCCTTGATAACCAATAAAATAGGTTAACCTTTAAAATTTACGATACTTGGAGCATAAATTGGGTTAACCTTTAAATATTACGATAATAGAGCATATGGAAAATAGGTTAACCTCTAAAATTTACGATACTTAGAGCATATATGCGGGGATAACGTGCTTTTAAAATTTAAAAAATGGTGAATTGGTGTAAAAGAATACGTTCATTTAACCTTGACGTGGGGCTTTGTGGCGGCACAGATTTATTTTTTCTATATAGGTGTTTTCACTGCAGTGAGACCACCTTCACATTGGATACATGCATATTAATATACAATTAACTGGATTCTTTCATGGTTAAACATCTCTTTGCTGCAGTGAAAGCACATTTATGGCAGTTACATGCAGACTAGTTTACATCCATTCGTTCATTTCAAAATATACCTTAAAGTTTTCCACAATTTAAATTTGAATTGAAGTGAATTCAAATACAGTAATGTTCGTTGTATTATTCTAAGCATTCGAATATTCACACAAGTTTAGATATTAATATTATATTAGCATCTCAAAATAAATACATCTCATGCATGTACGTTTGGCACATCTGAAATAGTTTCAAACAATGCACATTGCACACTTGACATTGCATATCTAACTGTCTTGATTGTGTTATTTCTTTGTTGTCCCTCTCATCTCCTTCTACTTTTCCTGTCCTTTCTGTTACAGTTACCTGAAACAAAGCTGTTATTGACATTTACACTGCTTAAGCATCCTACAGACACCTATTTTTTTGCAATTATGAAAACGGTTCCTCTCTAATTTCTGGTCATTCAAATGCAGGCACCAGAACCCACTGGATCCTAATGCTCCCGATATGACACAGTTCAAGACTGTCGAGGAGTGGCTGTGCAGCATCAAAATGGCGCGCTATCATGAGAGCTTCCAGAGGAGCGGCTTCACCACGATGGAGGCTGTGTCGCGGCTCACGCTCAAGGACTTGGCCGCGCTTGGTGTTGTGCTTGTGGGCCACCAGAAGAAGATCATGAACAGTGTGCAGACCCTGAGGGCACAGATAAACGCCACCATGTCCGATGGGTGCGTCGTCTAGGCACACGGGACTGCTCGTTGACTTGATCTCGTGGCATCTGCTTCCTTAACTTAAGAAATGGAACTGGAGGCGGTGCCGGAAAATGGGGAGGCAGCGACAGCGGCAGTGACCCAACGGATCAATCCCACCACGTGGGAGAGGCTCCCACACTCGCTAGCTCATTCCAGGCACATACTAAACTAGCAGGTTCTATGGACGGGAACTCGGTATACGAAACCATGGGCATGATTCCCTGGATTGTCATTATTGCTGCTACTGCATTCTTGTTTTCTGCACCTATCCAGGTTTGTTAAAAATGAGGCAAAACGGTCTCCCAGACAACAGAAATGGACAATGTTGGGGCCGGTATGCCCTGGCTGCTATGTGGCCTAGTTGGCAAAGGTTTACCAGCTTTGAGTGCTGCAAAAGATTCTGATCTTATCTGCGTCATGGCAGAAGGTCATATCTGTTCAGCTGCATAATCATGCTGCCCAAGAATTTTGAAGGATCGAGATTCCCTCACTGATCCGAGCACTTCCATCAGCTGCTAGCTTGAGTTGGAAACTTTCGCTGCAGTTGGTGTGGGCAAAGCTGGACCAACTACATCGGGCCTAGGTGAATCTATAGGATTGCAATGCCAGCTGGTGTGACGCAAGTGTGCGTTGAGCTTGTGGTGAGTGGACAAATCGTCGAAGCACGCAAGCGCCGTGTGGTGGCAGCAGACTACTTCGCTATGCAACTTGTCGCAATGAGCGTGCATCTACAATGCTGCGGTCGGCTGCCACATCTTGTTTTGGAAACTGCGGAAGTGATGAGGACAGTTGAAGCCGAAGCTTGTGTGTGCGCATGTGTGAGTGTGTACATAGCTGGAACTCTTACAACATATCAGCGCAAGAGATGAGTGGAACATTTGAGGCAAACAAACTCGTCTCAAGTGTGCTCCTCCCGGACAAGCCTGCATATCATGCCAACTTTCCCCGCCCCAGATGACACCCCCGTGTGCTCGCATCGTTTCATGTTTGTCGGCAGTGGGGGGGAATTCCTAAAGGTTGTTTTCTTCTCTTCATATCACCTGCCTCTCGAGAGCCCTGATGAGTTGATGTTTGTTAATTGTGTCAGTGCGGGCACTTTTGAGTCTGAACAATTGTTTTTTCGAGTAAAGCTTATGTCTTTTCTCATTGCAGCTTACTGCATTGAACTACTTTATTTTATGGCAGAAAAATCTGTGCAAAATTGTGAAAGTTGTACTTTATCTTGGTTTGTTGACAATGAGAAAGTTGTCCGTGTGCAGACTACCTTTTTATTATTGCATATCAAAGCAACAAAAAACGTTTCACTGGTCATACATTTTCTTTAATATTTTTAAGCTGTCTAATTTTTTTTCCCCTCTTTCTTTGCCCGATAATAATGTTGCCGTCTTATACAGAACAAAAACATTCATTAAATGTTTTTTTTATGATTTCTTTCTGGCAATAGTAGTCCGTTTGTAGGCATGCTGAAGCTACATGCTATTGTTTCCGCTTACCTGACTTCCCTCCTGTAGGTGTGCCATCACTACTCAATAGGTGCTTCATATTACTATATGCAAAGTCATGTCTCCTGGGGCTGTCAGTCATTGTATGTGTTTTCTGCCCATTGACATTGCCACGACGACGTCTTTAGGATTTCAGTCGTACTTGTTTCTCTTGTGAACATGTATGCCTCCCTGTTGGGTCTCTTGTATGCCATTGCTCAACGAACCAATGCTGCCATGTTTGAAAGACTGAGTGCACTAGACAGCAGGCTGCTGCAAATGAAATGTCCGCAACTCTTCATTAACTCTCTTTTTTTTTTTTTTGAAGGGAGGTTTTATAAACAGAATTCGCTCTCAGGCGTGTTTAGCTGTGCCACAACACTGCAGAATCGTTATGCCAAGCCATCCTCGGACTACGAGTCGTACATTCTTGTTCGTCGACACATCACCAGATTAAACTATGGTGGTTTGTTTACTTAAACAGTTAAGTGACAATTCACTTTCCCAGCTTATGCATACTACGACAACTTATTGAAGTGGCAGTGTCAAGCTTTTAGCAGTCCAGGTTTTCATTTTTTTTATACTTGTTGCCTGTCTACAAAAGCAAAAGTTGCCATGTGTGCAAGCGGTTTCAGCAGTCCCGAGATTTTGTCTGAAAATCCTGGACGCTCAATGTATAAATACTAGAATTTGTGCAGATGCACCAGCATTGAAGCTGTCGGAGCGAACTGGCTTAATTGTAGCTTGTAAATGTGTTGTCATGTAGGGAAACGTGAAAGTTCGCAAAATGGAATATGAGATTTACATAAACTGACATGGGCTCTCCTTGACCTTGTTTCTTTTCCAGTGCCTAATGTTCATGCAGCACATGTCAGGTAATCAAAATTAACTTGAAGAAACATCTTTCATGGAAGTAATTGATAGGTTACACATCATTGAGACCCATTACGATTAAGGAAGCAAAATGTTTTGCAGGTTGATATATGCAGTGCTGAAACATAATCAGCCGTAAAGTTCCAGTGCGACATGGCTACTACATTGTAAGCATATTCGTGATGCATTACCTGTTTTAAATTCTCTGTGCCATTTACAAATGCCTCCTTGTCATGTCATTCTAAAGAAATGGCTTTGGTCCAACATAAATAATAGCAATGACTGCACATAGCTCGCACATAGGACAATTGTTAAATATTCACTGGTTAACAGGGTTGTAATTGATTATCGATGAGCAACTGTTTACTGAATGTGAACAGTAATCTGCTTACACTACTTATGGCAGCAAATGTGCCATTGTGGCCATTTCTGTTCTTAATTTTCATTTTCCCGTACTGTCATTTCTTCTGCTATTTTGCTTGGTTCAGCAATGCTTTTTCTTAGGTTCTCCCTTGATTCTAAGCTCTTCAGTGAGCAAGTGAGAAGCAGCAATAAGGTAGCCTGTTTCAATCACAAAAACAATGCAAGGGCTTCAAAGTTGCTGGCATTATATTGTAGCCCAACAAATGAGACACATGGAAGTGGGGAAGTAGTGTACGTTTATTTATTTTGCAGTTAGCAACTGCCACACCATCTTTCTCACTCTTTTCTTCTCTTTTTTTTGTGCCGAAGATGATTAACCTGAGTGTTCAAACAAAAAGTATAGAACGCACCGCAAACATCTTGAAGTGCTATGAGTTGGAAGTTATTTATTTTGAGCTTAAGACAGCGTAAGCTTGCTGTAAGTGTGAGAGAAGTGTAATATAAATACGAAAATGAGAAATGAAAAGCTTGTGAGATAGTAGAGGCAGACATTGAGGAAATGTGTTTTAAGAGGAATACTCTTATGTATTATAATAAGTCCTCATCATCGTCTGATCAGTGACGAAGTATGTTGGCGGAAATCTGTGTCTGTATATGTTTTTTTTTTTTGTGTTGTTGTTTGTTCTGTGTCTGTGGCTGTTAGTCAAAACTTTCTGCGTGACACATTGACGATGGAGTATATACATAGGGCTGTTTTCTCTTGTGAATTTCTTTTTATTTCGGCGTCGCGTACCGTATTGTTTTTCCCTTTGTGGGTGTTCATTTATTGTGAGTGCATATCCCTCTTTTTTTTTTTTTTTCAAAGTATTTGTGCATCGCGAAATGAAAGAAAGAAAAGCGTGCAACGATTTCGCCCAGCCTACGCAGCATTGTGCGGTCGTGAGCACGCCTAGTCACACACTTTTGTTCGCATACTGCCTTGCTGCAATGTACTGGCGCTTGTGATTGTCTTTTATAGCTGCCGCCATGGACTCGATTGTGAGGCAGGCAGCTTGTCGTCACTGTTATAGACCCTTCGTTTTAAATTTCTGTCGCGAGTTTCAGTTTCTCTAGGTATGAACATGAATTTCTTGTGTCGCCAAGCGCATTTCCGTTTTTGTTTTTCTCTCTGAAGCCTTAAGGGATGTGCTTTTTTCTTACTCCCTTGGTTGTCGCGCGAAAGAATCGTGCCCTTTCCAGTCTTTCGCGTCACAATTAAGTTATGAAAATGTTGGTGCGCAGGTCGTCTATGTTACACGAAACTGCACAAAGGCAGTGTGTGGCTATCCTTTGGACATACGTTTCGTGTAAACAAAACAAAATACATCTGTGCTCCCGGTCTGTACATTTTGACGCATATACGAATATAATTGCGCCCCATGGGACACTATGAAATTCTTTCATTAATAAAATTAATTTTTATGCTAATGTTGTTTTGTTTATTTTTCAGCAGCACCCTGCATGAACATTTGGTTTCTTTTTCTGCCACTTGCTTAGGCTTGTGCAAATATTTGAACGAATGTTGCTGTATTTGAATTCGCTTCAATTCATATTTAAATTGCTGAAAATTACAAAGTATTTCAAACGAACGAGTAGATGTATGTAACACATGTATGTGTGCATGTCATTTCTTGTAAAAGTGGTTTCCCTACCATGGAGAGGTGTAAGTTGCAAAAACGCGTATTGAAATGTACAGTAATTCCGCAAGTAATTTGTTGTGAAGGTGGTTTCGCTGCAAGAAAGTAGTGGGAAACTGTGAAAACATCTATTCAGAGGAAATTTGCATTGCCGCAAAGCCCCACCTTACAGTTAAATCAACAGGTTGCTCTCACATCGATTCATAATTTTTTTTTAACTTCAAGAAGCTTGTTATACAGGCTTACATTCCTTAAGTATGGTACATTTTAAAATGTAACATATTTTGCAGGCTATTAGTTGCATTTTAGCAAAATTCAAATGCCACTATCATTCATAGTTGGTTGTACCTCCATTCAATCAGAAGGAATGGCATTTGCTTAGGTACTGATGACTGAGGCGCAAAAAACTTATCGTGAAAAAGGGAGGAGCAGAAGAGAAGAAAGAGCAGCGCTGACTATCAACTGTTTAATGAAAGTCTAGGAACCGCACAGGAAAGAGACATTTTTGCGCATGCGTGAACAGCCAACAAATGATGCGCAGCGACATGGTCATGACAACAAGCTATCCAGAAAGCACATTTCTGTCGAATACAATGTTATAGATGTGTCGCTCATACGATTGGACCCTTTCTTTTTGATAAAGAATGCTTCCAATAGCTCTTTAGCTGTTTGCTTGCTGCTCTTGCCTAGAGTCAATGCTTGCGCAAAGCATGATTCATATCCACAGGTGATATTCTCTGGTATTTTTTTTTTTTTCACGATGTTTTTTGCACCTCAGTCATCCCCACCTAAGCAAGCTGGGCATAAGCTCGCCCGAACAGAAGTCCTTTTGTAATGGCATTTGCACAGGCCTTGCTTCAATGAAAAAAATATATTGTGCAAGTTAGTAGTGTCATGACAAATATGCCCATTTTTCCCTATGTCATATATACTAATCAAATTTTATGTGAAATTATTCACCCAGAATTACTATTCACCTCGAACTTCAAATTTATTATTTGCACAAGCCTACTTCTAGTACATCGGGATGGAAGCTCTCTTTATTCACTGCGAGATAGCTTTTCCGCAGTACTGCACCGAAAGAAAGGGCAGCTCGGATACACTTCAAATATGGAGTAAGCACTTACTTGTAAGTAAGCTGGTCGTTCAGTTCATGTTGAACTAGAACCAAGAGAAAATGCAGTTTTTTTTAACCACTGACAATATAGTCGGGCCAGCTCCAACAATTTTTCACTCATATTAGCAAAACAGCTTAAATCTTTACTGTGGCTGAACCCTTTATAGCCCACTATCGTCGGTATTCGGGAGTAAAAAATTAAGGGGCACTTTGTAAATTTAAAAGTGTGTCCTGCAAAAGTCTGCGCCCATTGAGACAGGGTCCGTCAGAATGGAACGCGATGCGTTCCCTTCTTGCACGAGTAGGCAGATTGTGGCCGGTCAGGGAGACTAGCGCGTGGGAGCCATCCGACTAACTCGACTGCTGCAACGACATGACTGTGAAGGAGTGTTGCCTCGCACGCCATAGCACCATCAGGGCTGAGAAAGTGTAAGGGGGCGAGATCCCTAATACTTTCACTGCTGAAGCATTTCACACAGATGATTAACCAGGAAAGTTTAAACATGCGGCCTTTGTGTATCATGGGTTGTGAAGTGTCAAAGCGCCTTCTGTTTCAGCTTTCGATATTTCCTTCACTATTTTTGAAAAGTGTGCACTTCATACATTACATTTGGTGACGTTAGCTTAAAGGCTTTTTGGGGTTGGCTCTTCATGCCGCGGTTGGTATCATCCTAAGCTATATGTCCTGACAAAACCTAAAGAGAACTTGCCCAAGTGGGGAGACTAATCGAGGTAACGTAATCTAGCATCTACTGTACGGACAGTCGCAGCCGGTGCCCGCTAGTGCGAGTCATTAAAGGATTTCATCTTCATATTTGAATTTGGCTCTTACAGATTGCAACATTTCATTTGGGTCTGATTAAACATATAGAAGAAGTGTAAAATCGCAGGGAATTAATGATATAGCAATATTTTGCAACAAAATTATCACCATCCTTGTGCTACCCTGTATAGTGCAGTCCTTTGCTGGATTAAGCGTAATGGCGATGACCTGACTTGTAAAGCCGGTGATATTTTTGGGCAAAAGGAGCAGCGTTTACTTCGTCTTGGCCTTTGTCGGAGGTCTTAAAAAGGTGCTCTTCTGCTCAGTTTGTTTTATGCTGTTGCTGTTTTGTATCACATTCTCATCCTCAGGAATAGCAGGTTTCAATATCTTCATTTCAATTGTCTTGTGATTTAAATGTACCATCTTGGGTAGAAATTGGCGGACCCTTTAGTTTCGCCTTTAAGACGCCTTGCAACACTTTTTGAATATGGTCAGAAAACGCTACCCAGTGATAGTCGAGGCTCCCTAGAATACGCGAGCCAAATATTATACCCAGCCTGGAATTCGCAATAAATTCTCAAGGTGAGCTCAAAAATTCTTTCTTTTCTCTCAACAAGTGACGTTACAAGCAGAAATTTACTCGTCACAGCCATTGCATAAGCCATTAGCTAATTTGAGCATGGCATGCTCGGTCGTTACTGGGGGCCACTTCGGGAGGCAGCGACTTGTCCAGCGTGTGCGTGCGTTCGCACTGAAGAGCCACGTATTCAAAAAGAGATAAAAAGTGTTCAAACTCATGTGGCACGCGTGACGCATTTTCTTTTCCCGTGCCATCCCTCTCTGCTTAGCTAAAAATGCACGGAAACGTCCAATATGCCACAGTATGAACACATCCGTTCCGTACGTCCATTCCATACTTGTTTCTATACTATTTCTATAGTATGGAAAGGTTCATTATACCATTATTTGTCATTTCTCGGAGAAACGTGGCACCCGCTCCACACCTGTAGGTTATTACGTGCACTTTTTTTTTTGATGCCGTGGCTGATGACGACGATGAATATTATGGATGGGCCTTTACTAATGGGACCGAAGCATTTAGCGACCCACTCGTTATGCAATACGTATGAAGGGACAAATAATGCTTGTTGTTTTATTCTAAAACACTCTAGCAACCACATGCTAACTCAATTACTCGCCCCGCCGCGGTGGTCTAGTGGCGAAGGTACTCGGCTGCTGACCCGCAGGTCGCGGGTTCGATTCGCGGCAGCGGCGGCTGCATTTCCGATGGAGGCGGAAATGTTGTAGGCCCGTGTACTCAGATTTGGGTGCACGTTAAAGAACCCCAGGTGGTCAAAATTTCCGGAGCCCTCCACTACGGCGTCTCTCATAATCAAATGGTGGTTTTGGGACGTTAAACCCCACAAATAAATCAATCAATCATTAACTCAATTACTTACCTGACATGAAGCCCGCATATGGTCTGTTTGCAAAGCATGCAGTTTCAAACGCCGGCGTGGCTATGTGGTAGACTACTTGGCTGCCATACGAAGGACTCAGGTTCGAATCATATTCCAACCTGCCTATTTTTACTTTGTTATATTTTAGTACGCTGTGGGTTGTATGTCCCGTGTCGTCGTAGTCTTCGTGGTAGCCATTTGGGTTGCATTGCCTGTCAATAAAAAAAAGGTTTCGCAAGCAGATCCACGGAGTGAATGATGAGGAGTGGGGCGAAGCGTCCAGCTGTCCGTCCGTGCGTCCACCCGTAAGCATCGCCCCGCTCGTCATCTTCACATCGTGATTATGCTGTGGTGTTTTTTTTTTTTTTTCGCGCGATAGCGGTTACGGACACAGTCTGCGGCGGTGGGCAATTACGGTGCTAAACCGACTGTTGTTGTGATCTCATAACAGTTTTCGCTGTAAAATCTTAATACCGGATTTTGTCTATACCATAATCTCTGACTTTAACTCAGCGTAACGAATGTATGCTATAACAAGCGCATTTCTCTTAATCACCGTTCCATACTTCGTCTCTTGGCGGTTCAGGTTTGGTGTGCCTGCCTGATTAGTTCTATTTAGGGACCCCCCGAACTAAATGCTATCGTGATCCTTCACCGCACCAGATGGCGAATAAAATACAAATGTTAACGCCCTTTATGACCCACCAAAAGACTGAACTTTTGTCAGATGGCACACCAAAACACTTGTTTTCTATGAGCCGCCGCAACGCGCCATCCGCATAGAAAACATCTCTCCGGCATTGACAAAGGTGAGAGTGTAACGCTGACACTTGTGACACACTGTCTCCCACATGAAGTTGGCTTCCCAACAACACAGACCGAGGGAAAATATTTTGAACCGTTTCTGATGCATGCGGAACGAACAAAAAGCGCAGTATAACTCTGTCACCACAGGGTATGATGTCAGACAAAAGTTTAGCCTTATCATAGGTGATAAGGGCTTCAACTTTTTTTTTCGCATGGCTGTGGGCATCAGTTGCGGTGACGCAGACGCACCAAGACAACCTTCAGCCCGAAAAGCTTTTAAGCACGTTGTAGTTTGATCGGTACAAGGGGTGACGTCAGACAAAAGTTGAGCCTTATTGTTGTGGATAAGCGTTTCAACTTTTTCGCATGGTTTTCGGCATCTCTTGCAGTGAAGCACACGCATCAGGGAAACTTCCAGCTCAGAAAGCTGTTGTTTAATCGTTAGAAGGCGTGACGTCCCCGCAGGTCACGGGATCGAATCCCGGCTGCGGAGGCTCCATTTTCAATGGAGGCGAAATTGCTGTAGGCCCGCGTGCTCAGACTCGGGTGCACGTTAAAGAACCCCAGGTGGTCGAAATTTCCGGAGCCCTCCACTAGGCAGTCTCCTATAATCATATGGTGGTTTTGGGGTGTTAAACCTC